AATGGGAGCACTATGTTTATAACTAGTAGCCAGAGGAGCATCTTATAAGTCTTTACAGGTAACCCCTACCTCTAAAGTGTTCTAGAGGTTTGATATTGTTTCCTGAGTATGGTGTCATGGATGAATAATAACTGCATCCAGTCACAAGGATATTATTTAGCATGAAGGAATAATAAACTTAGTAAATGACATCTCTATTTTGAGAAAAAGTTCATATAAGTTCATATACTGGGAATTTTAACAAAATGTATCTAAATTGCTTTGAAAAATAAATTTAGTCATGTCTTGATATTTAACACAGCATAAAGAATCTGTATTCAACATGCTAATTTTCCAAACAGAGTAAGTTTTTTCCAGCTTTATCACAAGTAAGAGCAAAACTGGTAAACAATTAAAAAACAAAGGAAGCTTCCATAATTTATCTTTGCCTTTCTCATTTTCCACAGTATTTCTGTATTAAAGCATTAATCTAGTGCTTTAAAAGTGTTATCACTACAAAACAAATCAAAGTGTACAAAAAATTATATCCTGCACAATAGAAGTGACACAGTGTTTAAAACAACAGCATCAATGCTTACAGACAAAGCAAAACGTCTGAGGTTTCCAGACAGACAGAGTGGCTGCGTGAAAGTGGAAGGGATCTGGTCAAACTAAGAGTAAGTAACTTGCTTCAGGTGAAGAGGGCCCTGCTAGGCAGCAGCAGTCAGTATTTCCTACTCTGAAGCAGGAAACACACTGACCTTCTTTCCTTATAGATGCAAATACCTCCACTTATTCCCTTTGAGAGTTGCTCTGACAATGCCCTTTGAAAGAATCCACCTTATAAGACACACCCATCCATTCATTCCATCCAAGTAAAAAAACATTTGAAACGCATAACAGTACATAATGAGACTAAAATTTGTGAAGCTAAAGNTACATTAGCACGTGCAAAGCTGAGCAGCAGGTATCTCACTCCTAAACTCTGCTCTATCTTGTACTCCTGCATTGGTAAGCAGCTTCAACTGGCCTATGGAAGTCATTCTGCATTTCTCATCAATCCTTCTTCCCCTTTTCACCTGCCCAGGTTAAGGCCTCATCATCTCTTGCCTGGACTATCACAGTCCTCTCTCTTTAACCTTGCCTACAGTTTAATTCATTTACCTCACAGCCACCATGATCTTTCCAGTATGAAAACCCCTTAATGTTACGCATTTACATACACCAGGGTAGGGCAGCAGTGGGTGACTGCTGAATTACCACAATAGTGACCAATAATTAGTAATGGCAATATCCCATACATCTCAGGTAAACTGGAATAGCAAAGAAAGAATCTCCATCCCATAGGCTAATATCTATACTCAAGAGTAACCTAAATAGTCTTCTTTGGATTTACTTCCTGTTAAACAACTTAGAAATACGAGAGTACTCTAAAAGTCTGTATCTTTCTATGAACTTTTTGAAGAGCCCTCATATAGAAATGCTGTGACTCAGTGAGATACTTAGGCTTTTACAGATGACTAATGTGACACAAATGGGAGCACTATGTTTATAACTAGTAGCCAGAGGAGCATCTTATAAGTCTTTACAGGTAACCCCTACCTCTAAAGTGTTCTAGAGGTTTGATATTGTTTCCTGAGTATGGTGTCATGGATGACTAATAACTGCATCCAGTCACAAGGATATTATTTAGCATGAAGGAATAATAAACTTAGTA